ACACACACACACACACACACACACACACACGGTACTGGCATGGGCCCATGCTCCCATGGTCCAGCCATGCAACTGGGAGCCACATGGTGCTGGGGCAGGGTGGCAGGGAAATGGCTGGGGGGGGCTGCTACCTCCTGCTGCCGGCTTCTCCTGGGTCCTAGTGTCCCTGGGTTCTGCCATCTTTGTTAAAATGTTAGAAGCTCCTAGGCACTTTTTAGATCTGTTAAATGCAAACCATAAACAATTCACTATCCCCAGGAGGCTACTCCAGAGCTCCCTTTGTTTGGTCTTATTATATTGCTAAGGGAAATTCAACTATGATCCTTTGTACGTGTCATGGTTGAGTGATACTACATATCTTAGAGAGGTAATTCTCAAGCAGAGAGTAGAGGAAGTATGATTCTTGCTGGTAGCCAACGGCCTGCAGCCTAGGAGGGAAAGTCCAATCCAAATAAAAAATGCAGGGATTCTACCTGCTAGCTCTGTCCAGCCGAGCAAAAGGATCTTATTTGCCTTGTGCTTCCTCATACCTGTCCCAATAGGAACTACCCTGGTGTGAACGATTGTGGGAGGAGGACAGGATTTGGACTAAGAGGATTGAGGGAGTGGTATCCACAAGAGGCTTTATGCAGAGAGAGTTTGTGTAGCAATGACTCAGGCTCTGCCCATCCCATGTCAGTATGGGATTAACATCTCAGTCCCTGGGCAGTTCCTCCAGGATGGATGAAGGAAGGAGTGGCCCCGACTGTACAGAGTAGTGCTTGAAGTTGTTTACAGTAGTGAATGCAGCTAGGGATGCACCAATAGAGATTTTTTGGGCTGATACTGATAGCCAATATCTAAGGAGGCATATCGGCTGATACCAATTCAATTTCTGATACAGCTGCCTCCAGCTGGTAAATCTGGTGTGGTGGAAGGGGAGGGGAGAAGGAAGGGATGTGGGCAGATCAACACCCCCTGCAGTGAGGGAGGGGCAGGGGCAGGCGCTGCCCAGGTGGGGCGGGGGGGGCAGGGCCTGGAGCCAGGCTCCCACTGCTGCTTACACCCTGGGAGGGCACGGGAGGAGTATGCCCCCCAGATCTGCATGGGGCAGGGCAGGCTGCAGCTGGGGCTGTGCAGGGCTCTTCTCGGTGGGGGCTGGGCTCAGAGCAGGAGCTGGCAGCTCTAGGAGGATGCTGCATCACTCTGCTTCTAGTGCCACCACCGCCAGCCACCCGGTGCAGCCCAGGCTTAATGCTCCACCTCCACCCATGGTCCAGGAGAAACTGGGGCTGCACTGGATGGCTGGTGGCAGTGGCGCTGGGAGTGGAGTGGCAGCAAAATTTGGGGTGGATGCAGCATCCTTCCAGCGCTGCCAGTGCCCACTCCAAGCCCAGCCCCCACTGAGAAGAGCCCCGGCTGCAGCTCGCCCTGCCCTGCCCCACCGAGATCTGGGGGCACATGGGCCCCCCACCGAGATCTGGGGGCACATGGGCCCCCCACCTCATGCCCTCCCAGGGTGTAAGCAGCAGTGGGAGTTGCCTGCCCCTGCCCCTGCCCCCTCTCTCAACATGGGGGGCATTGATCTGCTCCCCCACCACGCCCCTTCCCTCTTCCCTCCCCTTCCACCACACCAGACTTACTAGCCGGAGGCAGCTCTCCATGCTGCCGACTGTGCTCCTTGCTGCTTGAGTGCCGTGCTGAGCATGGGCGTTTATCTGATACAGACAGTTTTCTTTATATCGACACCGATCCGATATCAGACCTATGTATCTATGCACCTCCAAATGTAGCTAATCCCACCCCTGCATGCAGAAGAGCCCTGGACACTGCACTGATAATGTTGTGGCTGTTACTCTGAGACCTTCCTCTGGGCTTCCTCACACAGCACAAGTTTGCACATCATGGGCAACAGGTGCTGCCTTAGTGGGGGGGGGGGG